GGGAAACGGGTGATTCAGTCTCGAGTGTGGGGAAGGATAGGGATTCAGAGAACGGTGATATGGTGAAGGTCAGGGTCAGAATTGAGATTTTCTTGATGTGCCATGCATGTAAGTATTTGCTGTTCTTATCTCTCTGTATTAGCAGTGTTAGGCACTTCGTTTTTGGGAGTAATTTGAATTTCCTTGCCCTTGCAAATTTTTCATGTACCCGTATTTTAGTTTTTAGATCATGTTCCTTCATTATGTCGTTGCTATTTTATAAATTCTCACATTATTATTGATATATATTTCAATATAAATATTCCTAGTAAATGTAATATCATGTCAAGAAATTTTAGGGGTCATGAAAAGGGGTCTTTGATCCCCCACCCCCTCACCCAAAAAAAGAGCGTTGGGAGACCCTGGTTTAGAGGAATTAATAGCATTTTTCTCCATTATTCCTTGTTCAATATTCGCCAACTTTTTTCAGAAAATGCTGATCATCTATTCCATTTTATGTGTTACTAAAATCATGGGATTTTCACATTTTGAGTTTTTCGAACGTTTTATTTGGTTTCATTTCCGATTTTTTGTGACCTTTTTACTTACACTCTTACTGCAAAACATCTAATGAAATAATTGCAAATCAAAGTAATGAGAATAACAATAATAACGGATCTTGAGGTGAATCTTTGTGGAGAGGCTCAAACGATAGGATCTTGGACGTAACCACAAGCAAGACGGGTGAATTCTGAAATGGGTTTGAAAGGGCAGTGTGGTGTTCTGAAAGGGTGGTTAAGGAAAGATTGATGGGCCGAGGCTGGGAGAGAACGAAATGGGAGAGTAAGCCAAACAGAGGGCCTCGTTCGCTGATCGATCGTTCGGACAACCGATTCGGTAAACGCGATAATCAGGATAATTGAAAGTGCTATTGCATGTTGGAGTGAAACTGAATACGGACCTGAGGGGTTGCTTTGCCAATGAACCAGAGAAGTTGATTACAAAATCAGAATGTTAAATGTGGGTATGAACTCATTTTGATATTACTACATGGCCAATACATCAATGCGTTATTACATTATTATTATTAATACACAGTACATTACAGGAAAACATAAATGTATATTAAGATAAATATTAGAACGGAAATCATGTTGGTTTGTATACAAACTTCTACAAGTGATACAAGCAGATCAATTGAGTAAATATATTCCATTCCATTATTGCAACAATAAGTATGATACCCGATAATAAATTGAATAGGGTTGAATGTAGAATTTAATGACGTATGCCGACGGATCCCTCATGAAGTTTCAAGTCTTCATTCTGTTAAATAATAAAAAAAATATTATTAATTTTATTTTTATTATAACTATATAATAAAATGTTCAAACAAATATATTCAAAATATAAACAAGAGAAACATTCAGAATCATTATTGCTAAATGTGTCTTTGGACAAACTAAATATACTCCTAATGTTATTGAAAAACAAAATTTCGAGACGTAACATTGTCAAGTCCACTCCTCATGTAATCAAGAGAGATTGTTGCTTTCAAAGAATAAATACATGCAATACAAATTTGATACAAAAAGCCATGGTCGTAATTTCTCAAGCTGACGAAGGCTTTCTTCAAAAATTCAAGTTAAAAACAATTTGACGATGAAGGAGGAGAATATTGAGACCTTTTTGAAACATATTTTTATACTACTCAAGATGTAGTAAGAAACATACATTTTTCAAATTATTTGTAGTATCTGGAGTATCTGGAGGCTGAGAAAAAATATCAGCATTCGAAGCCGATTCATTAAAGCGCATCGTAATACTGAAATATGTGAAGTATTAAATTCTAGACATACTTTTATGTACGTACTAACTGTCGGGGCACCGCCGAACCGTCTTAGCAAGAAATAAAGTGCAAAATTATTGATTGAATTACAGAAGCACACAGTTTTGACTCAAGTCAACATATCTATCCTTCTCTTTTCTCTTTAAGCACTTTCTTCAACTTCTGATTCTCTTTCTTCTCCTTTTCCTTTTTTCTTCAAGTTTTCCTTATCTTTATTCAACTTGTTCTTTTTATTTTCCTTCCCTTTACTTCGTCTTCTATTTCCGTTCCATTCTTCTATTTTAATTTTTCCTCTCCTCCTTCTTTTTCTTTCTCCTCCTTCTCCTGTTCCTTTTTCTTTTCTTCTCCTCCATGACCCAGCAAATGTTAATGTGGCATCACGATTGAAGCCGTCAAGGCGCGTGCGACGCAAAAACGTCAATCAGGATTGACTGCCATTCAGACTGGCCCTCCGAATTACATTATAAAGAAAAATATGAACATTTAAATACGAGAACAGTTATCAACATGATAATTTCTGCATGTAGATGAAGGAGACGGCTAACGCCAAACTTCACGCTCTCCTTTTCTCTGGGAGGTGGCATTGGTGAGCAGATGCCTTCCATAGGATTGATGATACTGAAGAAATGTTGAAGATTATGGATGATGTTCATACGGGAAGCTTGGATGATCTGGTTATTCAACCAAGACACAAACACATGATGAAAACTTCCATGCCTTATTCGGGACTCGAACACGCAGTCTCCGACTCCGCGGCCATGGAGTATGAACTTTTTAAGTACCAGATCAATCAAATCCATATCATGAAAATCTTCCCCTATCTGAAAAATCGGTCTTATAACCAAACATTGATAAAAATAAATGTATTCTTGAGCATAGAAGAAAGCGATATTTTAGTATATTATGATTACAATTTGCAACGAAGCCTCATCTTAACATCCAGATCCTCTTTATGGTCGTTTCTGGACCGCCCGCTGTTCCCACGCGCAGTTAAATGCGTCTGCGATGACTGCTGCGCAGGTGTTGACAAGATGCCAACTGCTTTTGTTCCCACGTCCAAGAACACACCACTCATCGCAGGGCGTAGGCAGGCGTGGTTCCGAAATAGCTCCAAAGCGCCTGGGAGCGCGCTTAAAACGAGGAGGGTGACAAACCGACCCATCTGCCTAATAGCGCCCGCGTATTTTTACATCACAACGCGGTGATTTATTTCCTTCGTTTGTTTCCAAGTAAAAAAGAGGACGAGTGTCGGAACTTGAGTAATTTAGCGTCGAGTGTTTGTCCATGTTGATGGTGAGGATCTGGTAATTATGGAATGTTGAAACATTTTAAGATGTTTTCCGGTATTCATATATAGCATGTTATTTAAGATTGGATATGTTTGTGAGTGATGTTAAAATTCCTATCTGACAGAAGATATTTTCATTCTTGGCGTTACACGATGTGTGAGGAGTTAATTTCCTAAATTCCTCTTGGTTTTAGATATTCTACAGAATTGTACAGAATTGTTTCTTTTGTGTGGTTGACGAATATCGTCTAGTATATCGTTTCACTAATTCAGTTTATAACAAATCATTTTCTTTGAATTAATCGTACTGCTCTCTAATGTCTTTCATATCAATTTCTAAAGTATTAGCTGAAGAAATCTAGCATTTCTCAGGCAAATATTTATTACTACCTTGTAAGCGACAGCTGGAGTACTTATTTTTCTGTAAATGAAATTTAAAACAAACGCTCCACATAATCACTGAAAAATGAACTTATTCGCTCGGAAATTACTACAATACATCAATTCTGAATTTTTACTCAACACACAAAAGTAAAATAATGTTCATGCCTTATTTATGGATTCATTTAAGCATTCAGCGTTTGCTTTTGAATATTCACAGTACTGTACTGATGCGTTTTCGTCATTCTGTTTGATTTCTTATTTGGTGTCTAGGTATCTTTTGACTTTGATTCATTTCCCAAAAGCCAACATATTTACTTAAGAAATGCATAAATCCATTTTCAAGCCATATTATTTCATTAGACACAAAATATCTTTCCCAACTTCAAAGGAAGAAATATTACTTCTGGTGGTGTTACAGAATGGCACATACTTTCTCGCATTAGTTGATTTTCTAATAGGCTAGCAATTCGGTATTGCTCCTTCTTCTTCCTAACTGCCGGGAGAAAGGGCTCAGGGCATCAACTGACGTCACTGCAGCACCTCTGACCGGCAGGACGTGGGATTCAAGTCACGACGGCGGCAGGATTTTCGACACTCGCAAATGAGCTACGTCGAATTCAGTTGCTGTCTGGAGGAGAATTCTAGCGGCCGGCTGCTCTCATCGGTAGTAATCAACCAATTAATCAAACTTCCCAGCTGCTACCTAAAATACATTTCTTCACATTGTTTCAATTTTCGAGCTCTTAAACATTGAATTGAAATACGCTTTAGGAATATTATACTAGACGAGAAAATCGTGGTCCTCTATGTACATTATCATTGATAAATTTGAAGCTGTTTATGAGAAACTCAAACGTTTTCTGTGAAAATGAGCTGAAAATTGGTTTTCGAGAAGCTTCATTAGAAATAATATTGTGTTCACAAATGCAATAATGTATTAAAGCGGCCATAATGTATATATTTACAACGAGAGTTATGTATAAAAAACATACAATTCTGTAAATTTGAAAAATCAAAAGAATGCATCAAAATGAGTTATTTTTCTTACGTCGCTTTTTAACTACAAAGTCATATAGAGTCCACTATGATTGTTTTTACTTTATTGTAACTGTAGGGAAACATAATGTAAGGAAGATCCTAAAGTTTCCAGAGTCTCCCCACTACTGTCCTTAGGTATGCGGTCAGCCATGTTGCTGATCTCAGCACTTCTCAAGCTGATGAAAGGAATTGAAGTCGAAACAATATAGCAAAAGATGACGTAGGCGTAAGCCAAAGAATATGTTTGCTTGTGGTTGCCAAAGGGTATCTTGTTTAAAACACTTTGACAAATGGGTCCCAAATACCACTTAAAAATTTTGAGTTTTGGTAGAGTTGCCAAGGTCTTGGGATAAAATTTGATCCAAAATCGACGGTCAATGCAAAATCGGAAAAATAAAAACCCAGATCTGCTAGATGTTTTCGAACTATCCGGGGTCTTTCATTTTTCCCAAACAAACAAGCATGCCCAAGGCGGGACTCGAACCTGCGACCTTTCGGAACGAAGAGCTGAGTTGGCACACGCCCCCCTCCCATCCAGGTTGGCGCAAAATGAATACTTTAATTTCATATGGTTTCATAATGATGAAGGCCTTGCATTTGATATGATTTCAAACTTCACCTATTAGAATATTTCCACATATTACAATCAAGAACAATGTCTGAAAGTTGTTGTTTTTATATCAAGATCACAAAATTAGCCTTTCCGACTGGAAAAGAGTGCTTTTCCTAGCTTTCCTTTTCTAAGCGTCCGAGTGGAAGCTTTAATTTCTTATGGTTTCATTGTGATTAAAGCGCAGCATTTGATGATTTCAAACTTTACTAATTAGAATATTTCTATATATTACAATCAATTACAATGTCTAATTTTTTTATATCAACACCACAAAATTAGTCTTTTCGACCGAAAAAGAGAGCTTCTCTAAGCAAAATCACTTTTTCTAAGAGCCCGAGTGGGAGCTATAATTTCTTATGGTTTCACAATGAGTTAAACATAGCATTTGATATTTCATACTTTACGAATTAGAATATTTATATACATTACAATAAAGAACAACGTCTGATATTTTTATATCAACGTCACAAAATTAGTCTTTTCGACCGGAAAAGAGATCTTTTCCAAGCAGAAGCACTTTTTTCTAAGAGATGGTCGGGCGCGAGGGCGACGGTAGCGCCGCGCGGCGGCGGAGGTAGGCAACCCTTCTGCCGCGGGCGCGCGTCGTGCGGAGCGTCTGCCGGTGCGGCGCCTGCGAGGCACAGTGCTCTGGATGGGGGGCGGCGGGAGGCAGGGGGGGGGGGGCCACTTGAGCGGGCGTGTGCGTGGCCCGCGTCCGCGCGCGCGCGCTCGTGCGTGCACGTGCGTATTCATGCGACATTTATTTCATTGTCGGCTATTCACTTGTGGCGCGTCCTTTGTCAACGTGTCCAGAAGCGGTTACGAAATCGCCGCCTTTTGTGTCGCACGCGAGCGCGCGCCGCCGCCTCCGCCGCCTCCGCCGCCGCCGTCGCCTGGCGTCTGCCCTCCTGCAGCACTTAATATTGCTCTGAGCATTTTACAAGGGCTGATATTGAACGCATTGTGTGCTGTTAGGTGGTGACCTTTTGATCTGGCGTTTGACATCGCTCTTCGTGTTTTCGGCTCACGAGAGGCCGTCGAGCTGCACTGTGGAGCGACGTTGCTTGGGCTGCGTGGGGCGTTGGTTGAATTCAAGCGGAAGGATCGTACATGCCTCCGGTTGGTCAAATTCTCTCTTGGTGGTGGGAATTAAATTTAATGGATCAAGGAAGTGATGGAGTTATAATGATGTTTGTAACGACACAGTATAAAGAATTGTCTTTCTCTTATTTCATATTTTTAACGGGCAACCAAGAGGGATGTGCTACTTTCCTTCACTAGACATTATGTAGAGAAGACTATGTATGTGATGGTTTAGATATTGTATAGATGTGATGCTTTATGTGAGCATTTCATGTCTCTTTCATAAGATGAATACATCGTCTTATGGAATATTTGAATGTACAACCCTACTGCAGTGATGATACAGCTGTAACCGACTGCGTAATTTGAGCCAGTAAAGAAAGACCAATTTATTTACTTAGCATTATCTTTTAATTTGATTTTAGTCACATATCAAGTCAGTTTTTAAGTAAATACTTTTAAATATAATTATTTGTTTACTGATACGTTATGGCTTGTTATTGCCCTTGATACGGAGTTCGATATACCTTTTATAATGTACCTGGATCGAGAGGATCGTGGATACGTGAGAAATAGGAAAACAGTTGAAAACATGATCCTACATGTTCTCTATTAGAGAGAATTATGGGAAGGAAAAGTGGAAAGACAAACCGAATCAAGTTGACATCTGGTTAATGCGTAAATAAGAAAATCTTAATCATTAAAAGTACGTAAAACATAAAATATTGTATGTAACCCCGGGCGATAACTGGTTGTAATGATCTGGAGCCCTCGGGCCTTTTGTCACCGCTCGACCTTAAGATCCCTTATAACGATCTTGGTACATAAATAACATTTTCCTTTGTTTGAAAAATACTGTCAAACTTACCATTGCATCAGCACCAAAAGATAAAACGTTATTTAAAATTCTGTTGTGTAGTATAATTAACTCACGAAAATTTCTTGTGACGAACAGCTGAGATCAGACCATTGATATACAACCCTTTCTCCAGAACCCCGATCTTCTCTCCTGGAGAGGGGAATCCCCGTATTAGAAGGCGCGAACCCGACGCTCATCCCCTCGCAGTCCCCTTCTTCGTGAGCGAAGCGTTTACGCGCGCAGTAATGTGGGGCGATTTGTTGGCTTCTTGCACAGATGCCCGCCCGCGCCCCCCTCCTC